ATATTACGATATCAAACATGAAAAATGTGAAGCAAGGAAAGTCGGATTTAATGGCATTTAATTTTGCCATCGCACTAGAACTTATTTGCCATTGACAACACAGACTTGGATTTGTTAATTAAATTTCATTGCCTGAATTACTTGAGTCACGATCTTTAATTAAGGGGTTTTGTTGCTTTAATAAGTTCGTTGATTTATTGACGAGTCCTTGGAAGAAGCCTTCTCTTACAGATGAATAATATTTGTATACGACTCTTAGCTCCCTACAAATTATTGCTCTTCAATTATATCTAAATTTATTGAAGCATAATACTGGCCTGCAACAAACTTATTTAGTAAGACATTTTCTTTAGCAATTTATTAAGGGCATTTAAAGGTACACACGTGTATATATATTTTTAAATTTTTTTAAATGTCACATCTTCGTAGCACAGGTTGCAGAAAAATTTCAGATATTTATTGCCTCGGAAATTATTTGCACAAGCTGCTTCTTAAAATCATACGAATGTGTCGTGCAGTCTCAGGCCATTTATATTAAAAGAGCCAGTCAGGCGGAGAACAGCAGCATTTCTGAATATTTAAGCTCAGTTGGGCTTTATGTCTTCATTAAAGACTGCGGCTGCTCATTTCAGCAAGTGAATAAGCATTGGAACGAGACTCCCGAGTGACCCGAGCTGGTCGAGTATAAATCAAGCAAAATAATTACGAATCTGGGGGACATTACAATATCTGTTTTGCCTTTTCGGCAACGCTTTTTATCTCGCCGCTTTTATTGCTTGCAACCAAACATTGACCCATCCCCATTCAACATAAGCACTCACAAACACACACCCAACACACGTTCAACATGGTCAACGTTGCGGGTCCTTGTCGTCTGCCACTGGGAAGGCAAGGGACCGCCCTCTCCACCACCTCTTGGGCACTGCCGACGGCAGTTCTCATAAATACCAACGATGCCAAAACAAAACATTTTTCATCCGACCTTTCGCTCGGGCCCAGGACCAGGCCCAAGCCCAAGCCCAAGCCCAGCATCTAACGCCGGTCGAGTGCTTACAAAATATTTCATAAATTTGAACGTTGGCCAAGTGGAACCTGTGGCAGGCCTAGGCCAGTACTTGGAATGCAGGCAACTGCCAACAGACAAGAGCCGCCAGTCAGGCATTCGGTTAGTTATTTTAAGGGTCCTGTTGCCCTTTGTTTTCTGCAGGTTGTTCACACTTCGGCGACACGGTCAGCACAACAGTAACACCAACTTGAGCACGAGGACGACCACATAAGACTCGTTGACTCCTGTTTGCTGCACTTTATCATTAGGGCGCTACTTTTATTTTTCAACAATTACACGCCTGCCTCACTAAGCTTACAGTTATTTTTTTTAGAAGCCCCCCACCAGCCTTCCTTTACCGCCATTTTATTGTTTATGTTGTTGATGTAGTGCTGTGTTTGTTTGTCCCCGTCTTTGATTGCTCGCAGCAATCGGCCGCCACACTGGCACCCCACCATCAGCTGTCCTGCTGATCTCTGAATAATTTAAGCTCACATTTTTCCAGCCAAAAGAGCATCGAGGCATGGAATGCGACGCTCAAGTCAAACAGCGAATTTGTGGTTTGGGAGTGGGAGTGGGAGTGGGGGTAGGGGTGTGGGAGTCCACACATTTTACACACTGGGCGCTACAATGGCACAGAACCGATAGAGCGGGACATTTCACATACCACAGTCACGAATAGCTCCGCAGCACATTTTTCAATGACAAACGATTTGGCGATTGCATAACGCCAAACAAAGGACCTATTGATCCCCATACTGGAATGTATTTATAATTTTGAAGGTATTTCTGAATCAAAATATTTCTGGCTGCCCAATCAAAATCAATCCCCCACACACCGCACACCACACATTGAATCTACGGATTTCTAATCACCCAATTATACGTAAGTCTTCAATTTTCAGTTCACCATTTACTTTAAGTCGCATTTAAAGGCTAAGGAAAAGCTTCTTACGCAAATAAAAAACCTTTCTTTTGACGCAAATTGTATAGAAAACTCTTCACTAATTACTTTATATTTATTGCAAATACTTTTTTATTGCATTTAAGAAAAGGGACTGTTTCTGGCATTGACTTGTTGCAAAAAATAATCAATTGAAAAATGTCCCTTTCCAGTACGCCGCCATTGCATGCAAGCAATAATTAATTCTTTAAAATATAGCTAAATGCTTTTTAATTCTACTAATTTCAAAATTTAATCATTTTAAAAGAGTACACATAGACGGGATAGAGACAAGAGCAGACTGAGCTGGAAACCTGCAATATACATATATGTATTTATATATTTGTATTTTTTAAGATAGCTCAACAATTTGTGAAAAATCAGAATTTTTATTTCAGAGGTATTTTAAATGTGTCATAAAATTATGGAATATTTTACAAACTAAAATAAATATTCTTGCAAATTTTAATGTTTTTTAATTTCTTTACTAATCACGTACAATGTTTTCTCACGACAATCTCAGAGATAGCGAAGTTTTTGGTTGTCCTCTTGGGATAACAAAATAAATGAAATACGATTGTTATTTTTTTTTGTTAGTGTCTCATAATCAATAAATATTTAGTGCACTCGTATGAGTGGAGTTCAAAGTAAATCTGAATATCTTTTCAAGGTAAAAACAAAATTCAAACAAAGCAATGCCAAAAGCAATACAATTCGCTTATTTAAGTTCAAGAAAATGTGTGGCCTTGACAGTAGCTTGCATTGCATTAACATTTCAAAAGCATCGCTCAAATTGTTCTTGATAAACATCTGAAAGCTCTATTTTTAATTACCAGTTTCTTTTTGTTGAAAAACTAATTATACAGATTTCAGAATCACTGCCAAGCCTGTTCTTCATAATAATATAAATCATTTTTGTAACGGGTTTCTTTGTTGAAATGTTAATTAAACAGGGCTGAATAGACATTTACTGATGGCTTTGATTGCAGAAATAAAAATTTAATTTCGTGTATCTGTATCATTAAAAATGTTTATTTCTCTCACTTGCATTTTGCGGAACATAAAAACATTCTCTCCACTGTACTAATTTGTTATAGGGGTCACGCCCCTTGGCTGTGTGTGCTGCCGTTATGGTTCAATGTTGTCTTAGTGTTGCGTTACAGTTTTTTTTTTTTTTTTTTTTTTTTTTTTGGTAGCCTAGCGTCAACGTCAACAGCAGGCGACAGCAGCCCGAGAGGTCAGTGTATGTGTTTCTGCTGCTCTTGCCGGAGCTTCGGTGATGTTTGTCCACGAGGCATTTATAATTTATGAAGGTAAACAAACACTCTTGGCTTTTTGCACGACCCCACAACATGTGTGTATGTGTGGGTGTGTGGGTGTGTGTGTGTGTGTGTGTGAGTGCCTCCGTTTGGCTGCAGTCTGGAGCCCTATCATTTGGGGCATTAAAGGATTTGCCGTTTTGTGACTGGCATTGTTAAACACTTCGAAATTGCTTTGGAAGCCGCAGCTCAGCGGGGGTGGGCAGAGGGGCACTTTTATTTAAACTTTGGCACATTTTGGAAATTAGTAGAATGTGCACAGAGCACTTCACGTGAACTACAACAAACAATACAACATTTTTATGAAAAGCTGCAGCAACAAGACAAGCTCTAGTTTGTTTTTTTTTTCTCTCGCATAACGAGCTGCCTTGAAACTTTTGAAAGCATAAGGTGGGTGGTGGGAGGTGAGAGGTGGGATGGCTTAGCGCCCCACCTAGCCACAGTTGCAAACTCTTGGTGTCCTGCAAATGGCCACTGACCCTCGCTGACTCAACTACAAAACATTGCCCATGTTTATTAAACATTTTGGCAAGTTTTCAATTTGGTTAATGTTTTTTCCGCCTTTGAAACGGGACTGCTTCTCTTTGTGCCAACTACGACGTGTTCGTGGCTCACTGGGCAAAGGGCAAGGCAACTGAGGAAGCGAATTTATTGTTTTATTTTTGTTATGAATATCGGGCAGCAGTTGCAGCTGCACTTGCTGTAAGTGTTTTTGTAATTTCAACGATGCTACAAAGGGCAGAGGGGTTAAGGACCTCTGAATGGCATCGTTGACTCTCGACTCTCGACACTAGGCTCGAGCTCGATTGTTGTTACGGAGGGCTCGTGCAAATAATGAAAATATTGCGCACTTAAATGTGTAAGACACGTAAGAGAGTAGTGCTCGGAGAAGTAAATTCGGAAACAGTTATGGGAATTGCAATAACTTTGAGATTGCGCATAAAAGTAGGCAACCGAGTTTTAATTGCGTTTTCATACTCCGCCATTAAGCAGCGGCGAGGTAATTTACAATAACAGCCGTAACAGACACAAAGTTACTTTATGGCTTCGTAAAGAAAGCATACGTTATGAAGAGTATTCGTTCAGCATGTTACACTCGAGCTCTGGAAGCTTTAAGCCTAAGGATACACACCTTGAAAACATTCGCCTGATGTCTGGAAATACAATGTTTGTTTGATGACCAAAGGCTAATTAAAAGGTTAATTAGCTGAAAACTCAAAATATAAAATGTAAATAATACATCACAAGCATGTTAAAAAAAGAATAGCCGCATAGCCGATTAGGCGCAGTCATAGTTAGATTCTTTTGTAAACACACAAATAGCTTCGTTCGTCTTAAAAACTCCCCAATTAAAAAATTTCTCAAGTAAGAGGCTCAAATAAGATATACGTACAAAACGCTCTTTGGTATTAATCTGATGTAATATCAATGGCTGGTGTAATGGTAATCTAATACCAATGAGTGTCAATGTGCATAGAAAAACTTTACAACGCCTGTCTGGAAAAAATGGCTGAAGAACAAAATCGGAATCTTTAGACCTCATTTAGTTAAGACTTGAACACATTTTGCGGGGGGATTTTTAGCTTTATATTTTATCTGTATGTGAATTTTAATCAAAGGAGGTTTTGCTTTTTGTTCTCCTATTAAAGTCATTGTGATTTAATAATCCCAGGAACGGGCTGCAATAATTGCTTCTGCAATGGAGAACTACGAGCTAATCGAAAAAATTGGTGAGGGCACCTACGGCGTGGTCTTCAAAAGCCTCAATCGCCGGCAACAATGCAATGTGGCACTGAAGAAGATTCGAATCAATTCTGACGACGAAGGTGTACCGTCAACGGCCATCCGAGAGATCTCGTTCCTCAAGGAACTCAAACATCCCAACATTGTGGAGCTGCAGGAAGTGGTCGTCAAGGAGAAGAGCATCTACTTGGTGTTCGAGTATCTCTCCATGGATCTGCGCAAGTATCTGGACTCACTGCCAAAGGGAAAGCGTCTGGAACGCAATCTGGTGCGCAGCTATATGCGTCAGGTGACAAGTGCCATTCTGTTCTGCCATCGCCGGCGCATACTGCACCGGGATTTGAAGCCGCAGAACTTGCTCATCAACCGACACGGTCGCATCAAGGTGGGAGACTTCGGGTTGGCACGCGCCTTCTGCGTGCCCATTCGGGTTTTCACGCACGAGGTCGTCACACTGTGGTATCGGGCCCCCGAAATTCTTTTGGGTTCCACGCGCTACGCATGTGCCATGGATATCTGGTCGATCGGTTGCATCTATTTCGAGATGACCACTGGCAGGCCCCTGTTTGCGGGCGACTCTGAAATCGATCAACTGTTTTGCATCTTCCGAATACTGGGCACTCCCACCGAGGATGCGTGGCCGGGGCTGAGCACGCTGCCACATTTCAAGAACACCTTTCCCAACTGGACGCACAGACTGCTGGACAGTTTGATTTTGGAGGTTGAAGCGTCGTGCTTCCAAGAATCTGGACTCGACTTGTTGAAGAAAATGGTGAACTATGCGCCGGAGAAACGCATTTCGGCGAAGGAAATGTTGGAGCACAAATACTTTGAGGGTTTCCTATCGGAATGAGCTCCTCAGTTTATGTTTGTTACCTCAACATTTACAAATGTCGAACAGTTAAATGACTCTTTTATGGTGAGCGGGCGCATAACGTAGGCTTCTCACGCACACTTCCCCATTACAACATTCATTAAACATGTATGTCTATGCAAATATTGACTTTGGCCCTCACATTGCAAGAAAATAAAACACTCACAAATGTATTTGCACGTGTTAAATGGCTTAAATGTGCATCGCAAATATACACGTAAGTAATTAAATTGATTTCACGCTTCGTTCGGGTCGAGCAAATCAAACGTGGCGTTCTTCAAAAGTATTCGTGCAGACATTTACATAAATCGTGCGCCTGAAGCTATAAATATTGCAGATCTTGCCGTGTCTGAACGATGGCAGAGGTCCTCAAATATCTAGATAATTATATACATTCAAGGAAATGGCAAAAAAAAAATTGAAATTTCTACGAATATTATTCTTCCAAGCTGTTGATCTTTTTTATTTATTTTCATTCTCCTGAATTGTTGTAAGTCTTTTTATAAATACTTGTAAGTCCAACTCAAACTTAAAAAAAGCCCACAATAGTAGATTTATAATTTTTTCTTCAGAGGTAGTATTTATAATATTTAAAACAAATTTTCATATCAATAAATTGGAGCACCAATATTCCATTCAAACTTTTTGTTATTAAAAGAAAAAGAATGCAAAAATAGATTAACATATAATGGCCGAGCGGTAAACCGTTTTATTTATCATTTTCAACCTCTCAATACGGACAACAGTTCTTAATTTTATTTTCAACAAAATAATGCTGGGCTGGTGCAATCAATTCCCAAATTATTTTCCTTTCGTCCCTTTCTGTAATAACAGTTGCAAAATTTATTTAGAAAGCGATTTGTTTATAAAAGTAGAACCTAACTGGTTTGTTTTGATAACATTTTAAATTTATGTGGGTGGACTTATTTAACTCGAATTGAATAATCAAGATGTCATGTAATTGTTCCCACAAAACATAAATAAATGAATAAATACAAATGTTGAGAAAAAAGCAATCCTTAAAAATTATTCTTCAACCATTCAATAATAGAACGTCCTTTTTGATTTCTTTATAAAAGTGGAACCTAACTTGCTTGTTTTGATAACAGTTTAAATTTATGTGGGTGGACATACTTAACTCGAATTGAATAATCAAGATTACATGTAATTGTTCCAACAAAAATAAATAAATAAATAACTGAATAAATAATTTGCTCGTAAGTGCTAAACTACATTTTTTGCTAGAACTTTCCCAGAAGTGCTTGTGATAGCACTTATTGTTCGATATTTCGTTTGCAAGCCCATTGTGCGACGAGGAGCAAACAAACAGACGAGCAGCACAAACAGACAAACAAACAGCAAACCAGTGCTCATTTAGTGGAAGTGGAAGTTATAATTAGCCAGAAGGAAAACAGGCGTACAAACAAAAACAGGACGAAGGCATGGCAACCGAACTAAAACCAAAAAATCATGGGGCGCGCATAGTTAATTAGATGGTTGCTAATAAATTTTGGATTGCCCCTTTGGACAAGGCCTGCCACTGACTGAAAAGTTCATGGCTAAAGGACAGCCGGACGGACGGGCGGCAGTCAGTCAGTCACTTGGTTAGTTAGTTAGTTAGTTAGTAATAAATACTAGGGCCTGCTGATGTCTGTTGCTGTTTACGTTGGCACAAACACACATGTATATTCACTTTAACGTAGACATTTGGAGACGAGATTCCATTAAGTGAAGTTGAGTTAATTATTTAATGAAATTTAATTAGCGCTCGGAGGAAAGAGAAAGTAGCACTCTCGATTTGCCGAAGCACTGCCAGCCTGTAAATTCTAATCGCATTGCCTGCATAAATTAACACGACAGCCTAGACATGCGAGACAAGAACAACAACAGCACTAAGTGGTGGAGCAACAATGGCAGCTCATGAGCCAGCCAGCCAGTAAAGTAATTTGGTAGCACGCGTCTGCCAATAGAAGTAGCTGCCGTGTCGCTTATGGTGCCAACGCGTTAAATTAAATCAAAAATGTATGAAAAGCAAATACCGATCCACACCCAACCACCCACCACCCTTCGAGCACAGAGCTGTACTTACGCGTCCCAAAGCCGACAGCTGCCAGGAGTAGTGCAAGCCAAATGCGACTCCAAGACGTCCTGCTCGTGCGTAAAAATTGGCGCCGGCCTCGCTCTGCTGACATCCTTGCAGTTGTCACCATCGCCCGCATCGTCGTCCTACTCGTCTTCACAATCGCCGTCATCGGGCTCAAACTCGTCGTCGTCGTCAGGCTCGTTGTGGCAATCCCAGTGGCCCAGTTCCTTGCAGCAATGACACTTACAGTTCTAGGGCCTTTTCTACGCTTACTGCCCGCCTGCCGTCGTTCGGGGCTCGTTTGTGGCATCGGCATCGCCTTCGAGTGCTTGTGCCTGTGCCTGTGCTTGTGCCCGCTCCTGATTGCGCTGCGGCGTCCTCTCCGTCTGCTTCGCCTTAGTTGGCAAAGTTTTTCGCATTCTATGCGAAATGTCTGTAGTCGTATTCGCGCCCAAGTAACTTTCGGATAAATAGGTTTATTGAATTAATACACGGGGGACGCGCCGTGTGGTTTCCGTTCCGCTCCTCCTCCCCAAGATCACAACTTTCTTTTGTATGCTTTGCAGTTTCTTAAGTTGTCCTTTGATTTTATCACTGCACATCGCTTTCCTTGCTAGTCCTTGTTCAATGTATCACACTTTGTTGGCATCGTCTACAGTTTAAACAATATTCTTTGTGATCGTTTGTTTATTTATTGCTGCGTTTTTACTTCTAGTTAGCCGAATTGCCAGATTTCAAGTGAAATTTATTTGATTGGCCTGGGCAGGCTGCCAAATTGTTAAATGGAACATGATCTAAAGTTTCTGGGGAACTTAGCCCCGTTTTGAAATATAAATGGCTTCGTGTTTTCAATATTAAATGGCTTTCTTTGCACTTTATTTATGAAACAAGAACGGGCACAAACGAATGACTTCAAATGCAATTGCAAGTAAGTAAAGTAAATATATGGTTGATTTAGAGAAAATATTTGAAAGGTCTATATTTACTCATTTTTAAAGCTATCTTTCTTTGCTTAGTTAATGTATATAAAAAGAAGTTTCTATTAGAACCGGCACTGAAGCGGCTGAATATTACTGTAATAGATCTGAGCGATGAAGTTTTTTCCAAAATTATATATCAAGTGAAGGAATCACAAGCGTAATAATTATATTTCTTTTTTTTTTCGTCAATTAAAATTTCTTTCTATAACTTGTTAAACATAAATCTCTACGCTTTTTGTTCCACGATAATAATCGAAAGGTCTTAAGCTCAACATCAAGATCGCCATATACTTGATAATATATTCCAAAGTGACTGCCAATCTTTTCCTACAGACGCTTAAAACTAAAACTAATGATGTACACAAAAAACGTAAACAATTTTATGCCGTTTTGTGTTTCATTAAAAAATACATAGCCAATGAAAGCCAAATAGGCCAATTTCAGGCAAGTTCGTACATAAATTTCAATTTCCATATGCAAATCGGCATGAATACATTTATTCGTTGAGTAATGGCAAAAGTTTTCGAGCAGCTTGGAAACTTGATCTATTCACAGCTCATATTTAAAAGTTATCTTCTGAACATGTTAATTTCAGTTATTGGCTTATGGGGAGGATAATGACAATAAATATTATCTTCCATATGCAAATTGTTAATAAGACTTGCCACAAATTTAAATTTATTTTGAAATTATGTAAATTATGCACATAACGCTTAAATTGCTCTTCTCTTCTCATTTTTCGTTTGAAAAAAAAGGAAAGATTTAACACGTGAAGAAACATTCACACTTCAATGACACTTTATCGCATAATCCGAGTCCAAAATATTTTCCAAGTGTCTTTTTTGCTAACTAAGGAGCCGCAACAGCCATGAAAATATAATGCTGAGACGATACACAATAATCCCTTTTTACGGCGATGCGACGGCCGCTTCCGCTTCCTTGGCGCTCTGTTCCTTTTTTCTTTCTTTTTCAACGTCCTTTGCACATTGGACGCGCCATTATAATATTCATTTTAATATAACAACGACGGCGAACAAATTTTGAAAGTGATTTTTTGGAAAGACACTCGCCTTTAACGCCCAACGGAGACACACAAACAGAAACGGAGACGGAGACGGAGACAGAGACAGAGACACAAGCACACACAGACCAAGGAGCTAGGCCAAGTTACCAAGTGGTGTCACTTTGTCGTTTGTTTTGTTTTTGCTGCTTTTGTTCTTTCAGTCGTTTGTGGGGTCATGAGGGGGCTGGGGTGGGGGGTAGAGGGGGCAGCATTAAAATATTCCTTTAGCCAGCTTGGTATCCACTTATTTTTGGCACAGTTGCGTTTTGCATTTGTTTGGGAATAAACAACAGTCTTTTAGCAGACTTTGCCGACATCGATGCCAGCGATGCCGCCTTCTCAGTCTGTCGCGTCAACAAGACCGACGGCGCACCGACGGTCGAAATCGCACGCCCTCAACATTTCCGAGCGACCGACCGTACCTATAAATTGAATTTATTTTGTCCGCTTGCCTGCCGAGCCACGTCCACACGCACAGGATGCAAATGTTCAACTGAGTCGCGCACAAACACAGTCAGGAAGCTTTTGTCGTCGCAGGACAGACTCAGAATCAGAATCAGACAGCATATCCCCGCCGGCTGCTAGGTGGTCATGGTCCCACAACGTTTGCTGTGACTCTTGACGCTGCCCGTTTCATTGCCAGCATCCGCGCCACGCTGTGACATTTCTCCGCCACGTTTCATTCCACGTTTCATTCCACGTTTCATTTCACTATCACTGCGAAACGTTCCGCCTCCCCTTAGACTTGCCGGCTATTTGTCTGCGCATGTCTGAGCTGGTCTGGTCCCACAGTCGATTACGGTTTGTAATTTATTTGTTTATCTCCTATTGTTAGATGCAATTTATGGATGGATATGGAATAGATAACAAATTCCTGTTCATTAATTTCGCAAATTAACTTGAATTCAACAATTTCGCACTGAACATACTTGTATACATACATAGAAGATATTTTGAGTAACTCTTAATAGAATAGACAATCTATATACACGTATATAAAAATCTTGTGTCCTCGGTGAGCTCCGAAACTAATGAACCATTTTTTAT